CTATTTTATTTTTTAAAAACTCTCCACAGATTCTGAAGACAAACAGAACATTAAAAGCCACTTCATGGATCTAGACCCTACTTCAGAGGATATATCAAAATATGAGAACATTAACACTACACAATTTTCATTCAGCACAAAGAGGCACAAAGATGGAAAAGATGATGCACCAGGATGGAAGGGAACAGTTTTCCCAGCACCTGCTGTGCAGAAGTGCCAGGAAAAATCCTGTTCTTCCAACCATGAAGTAGCAGAGCCAGAGAGATCTAGGAACTCCACCCATCCCTGAGAACAGCTGAGCCCACTTCCAGTGGAGCAGCTCCCAAAAGCAGGGACCACAGCCAGCAGTTCAAGAATGGGGACAGGAAGGTGTCAAAAAAAGCAGGGAGCAGAAACCACATCCTTGGTTCTGGACTGTGATGGCAGCTGAGCTCAAGGGACAGAACAGCGAAACACTGAAACAGGCTGTCCAGGGAAACAGCAGAGTCTCCTTCTTTGGAAATATTCAGGGCACAATTTGACAGAGCCTTGAATGACCTGACCTAAGGCTCTGTTTCAAGAGGAGACTGGCGTAGATGAGGTCCCATCCAGCCTGGATGTTTCCATGATACTGTCACTATGCCTGTCATTTCAAAGATGAGACCAGAAATGTCCAGGATCTGTGGTCCCAGTTCAGAAATGCTTTCAAGTACCTGTGCATCTTCAGCCATGTCAGTGGTCCCAGTTCAGAAATGCTTTCAAGCACCTGTGCATCTTCAACCATGTCGTCTTGAAACACTTCAAATTAAATATATGCTTTAGAGTTCCTCTAGTTTGGGAGTGGCATAGATAATTCTTGGCTTAGTTTAAACAGTATCTAGATTTTTCCAAGCCTTTTTCCATGAGCAGAACTTCTAGTCTACTCTATGACAGCTTCAGTTAATACTTGCAAAGCAACTGCAGACTCTTAAAAGACAGTCACTAAAAGGCAAACAGCACTTGGTGGCTTGACATTTTTTACCCTGTCATCATCAGCACACAACTTCATTTTTCTTCAAATGACATGATTTCACATCAATGCTTGTGGTAAGTTCCCCATCAAACAAATAATACACAAATATTTTCTTGACAAGCTAGAGGGATCATTTACAATCATGTTTCATTTAAAATTCTGAATTTGGTCATTGTGTTGTTGTAGCTTAGAAGAAAGGCAGAGGGAACTTTACAGAAGAGTGATGTGAGCGATATACAAGATACGGGGATGGACTTTAGAAAGAACACCTGTATGAGTATTTCATTCAATTGCTTAAGGGATAGGGAACTTTACAGAAGAGTGATGTGAGTGATATACAAGATACGGGGATGGACTTCTTTAGAAAGAACACCTGTATGAATATTTCATTCAATTGCTTAAGGGACTTTTTGGGGGGTTTTCTTCAGAGAAATAACAGACCATATCATGAGCTGTCACCTCCTGTCCTGCTCAGGGCATCAGGCTGCCTGTTCCTTTGCTGTACAGCAATGACTGTGCTCATTGTGATGCTGTATGTTATGCCAGCACAGTTTTTTTACTCTGGAAATAGTACACTACTATGAAGTAAAAGTACATATTTTGAAAATTTTGCTCTTTTTCCTGGTTGTAGCTTTGGAGACAGATGGATATGGAAAGGACAAAGCAAAGATGGCTTTATCAAGAGCTTGGAACAGCAAGAATACCTGGCAGTCGGATTATGAGTAAGTATGAACTGAAAACCAAACGTCACTAGATCTGGTGCTCCAAGAGTAAGCAGAAAAACTTGGGAGAAGAGGCCAAATGGGTCAAGCCTTCTAATCAAGCCTCACTTCCTCAAGTGCTATCTGCACCCTCACCAATTCTCTGACACATACATAGTGGTACACAAGGTTATTTCTACCCTGACTTCATTATTTATTTATTTAAATACCTTAATAGCTGTTCAGTATATACTGAAAAACAGCCTTTCAGAAATCTTGCTTTGCAGAAGGACTACAGCTTCACCACTTTTGCAGCATAAGTCTTTGCAATAAGTATTTTATTTTAGTAATCCACAAAATTACATTGCAGAAAAAATACATTAAAACTAGGCGTTCAGAGGCTATTTTAAACACCTGAATGAAATGTAACTGAAAAGAAGTCCATAGAACAAAAATTTTTTTATGCTATTACTTGATTCTTCCAAGACAAATAATCAGAAATAAATTATGAAAAAGCTTTCTTATAAATGTAATCTATCTTTTATTATCAAGTCAAAAATTACATTGCAGAAAAAATACATTAAAACTAGGCGTTCAGAGGCTATTTTAAACACCTGAATGAAATGTAACTGAAAAGAAGTCCATAGAACAAAAATTTTTTTATGCTATTACTTGATTCTTCCAAGACAAATAATCAGAAATAAATTATGAAAAAGCTTTCTTATAAATGTAATCTATCTTTTATTATCAAGTCATAAAGTGAAGACAAATAATCAGAAATAAATTATGAGAAAGCTTTCTTATAAATGTAATCTAACTTTTATTATCAAGTCACTCTTCCTAAAGTGTATTATGGTTGACAGTTCACTTTTAAGATTTAAATGGTACATCTATATAAATAATACAGCATGACAGCAATAGTATTAAATTTGCATGCTAAGGACTGATTTTACTGTGCAAAACCCAGAAACATACTTTCAGTTAATAAGTAGTAAAACCAGTATAAATTATATTGAGAAGATCATCCAAAGGAGCTTCAGCAAGCAGTTCATGACACCACTGCAAATTTAGTTTGCATTCCACTCTTTGCTCCCTCTCTCATTTCTTGTCAAAGGCAGAGAACTCAAGCCACCCAGAAATACACTAAATTTACTTTTAGATGCTGAGAACTCAATGTAACAGTATATCAGTCTATCACAACAAAAAAAAAATACAGAAAATGTAATTGCTGAAGCAGAAGTTGCTTTTAAATATTTACCTGCAAAATATTTAGATCATTTTTCAGTCTTAAGTCTTAATAATTAAATAAATATCTTGCCTAGCTCTTAAAAAATTCACAGTGCCTGATTCCGTACAAAAATAAGCACCTTGTTCTGTTGAATAAAACGTATTGAAGATGCTTCCAGCATCATTCTAAAGTCTTATTTAAATTCTGTGAAAGCTTACAGCTTCAAATCAACAACAGGAGAAATTGGTTTTGCCAGATCCAAATCTTTAAGTTATTGCTCTGGATTTTCTAAGCTAAGTTCCTTCAAGTACAGTTTCAGTTTCACAGAACATAATCCAGATTTCCTTAGAAGTGCAAACACTATAAAATATAATAGCATTAGATCATATTGAAACAACATTTGATTTTTATGCCCAGATTTTCAAAATCAACAACAGGAGAAATTGGTTTTGCCAGATCCAAATCTTTAAGTTATTGCTCTGGATTTTCTAAGCTAAGTTCCTTCAAGTACAGTTTCAGTTTCACAGAACATAATCCAGATTTCCTTAGAAGTGCAAACACTATAAAATATAATAGCATTAGATCATATTGAAACAACATTTGATTTTTATGCCCAGATTTTCATGTTTTCACTATTGAAACAACATTTGATTTTTATGCCTAGATTTTCATCTGTTTTCACTACAACCCTGTCTTTAGGACCTAGGGGAATTAAACCAATCATAGATGCAGCAGCATCAGGGTAAATAACCACAACTGCTATTTTTAAAAAATCTGCTCCTAATCTTTATTTTTTTCAGTCTGCCATCTTTAAATACTCATAAATTTCTGCATTTGGTATTAGCTGATTTAGGCCATGGATGACCCTGTGATCAGACACAGAGGGATAAACCAACTGCATCATGACCCTCACAGTTACAGCTGGTTAACTCCATCCCAGCCAGACCCAGCACACATAGAAAGTTATGCTCACCAGGACTGTGATTATGCAAAGTCAATATTAAAAGAAGGGTGAAAAAGAAAAAAAAAGGCAAAAGAAACAAAATCAATTGAGTAGAAGTCTGTTTTCCAAATGTCAAGAAAAAAGGAAGAGCACAGGAAATGGGCTCACAAGCAACAGAACAAAGGCCACTAGAATTAAGAAGCTTATCTCAAACAAGACCAGAAACCTATTTTCTTGAAGATGGTATTATGAGATAAACATGAGGGGGAAAAGTGATTTCCCCTCCACCCATCCCAGGTGTCAACTGAAAACACTGTAAATCAGAGCAAGTTTGAAGAAAGTCATCTCCTTCTCCTACCCAAATTGTAAAGGTTTAAAGCAATTTACAGAGATGTAAAAATATAGAAGCAAAACACTTTTGATTGTTTATAACAAATGAGATGAAAGGTGTCAGAGTAATAGAAATCTTGTTTTGTCTTAAATCAATCCCCAGTACTTATTGCTAAAGAGAAAAGAACACAAATTTTCAACACAATAACCGTCCCTCATATAGATATAAAATGCTGTAGTCAAAGCAAAATTTGAAGGTTCTTAATATTTAGAGTATGACAAAGGCACTGAGATTGAAAGCTGAAACCAAACACAAAAAACCAACAATACCTCCCCAAATCACAGCAACAAGAAAAAAACCCCAGCCAAACAAAACCAAAACACAAAACAACAACAGGCAGCTTCTGGTGTTCAATCCCAAACTGCATGTATTTGAGTGAAGGAAATTACAGTGTAAAATTAATTCTTGATAATTTGATCTCATATAAAGCCTTACTTTTTAATTACATTTGAAATTATTTGTATTATATTTGATTTTGAAACAATTACTCAAAGAAGCAGTCATTGCCTTAGCCTGCAAAACAGCAGTTGTTGCATGTAAGTTACAGCCAACTACCACTAATTCCCATGTGCAGATAAATGCCATGGTTCTTCAGAATTAAATAGACAGAGATGTTATCATCACATCGTCTCAAGAAATCAAATTACATTCATATTACACTCCAAGAAGGAGGAAAAAATAAATCAAGATATTTCTAGCCAAGAAAACCATTACTGCATTAGTGACAAAATGCCAAGAGGACTCACCTGTTCAATTTCCTTTGTCTTAGCTGCAATTGCTTTTGAGCGATCAAGATGTTGGCCATCCTCATATAATTCCATACTATCTGTTATATTTGTTTCTGCTTCCTCTGCTTGTTCCATGTAGAATGGAACTGAAGAGCCAGCCTTAAAAAAAAATAAACACCCCAAAAAATATATACATGAACAACAAACAATAAATTCACTTTTTAGAGAAAAATAAAAACCTCAGTGTGAGGGGAAAAAAAAACAAACCCAAAGTCATTCAGATACATATGAGTTTGCTCATCAAGACTATTAATGAAGTATTATTGCTACAATCTTAACAGATACATAAATATGAATTTTAAACACGTAGAAAACATGACATCATAAAAACCCCTGTACTCAGTCCTAACAGTGAAAAGGCAATGATGTCCAACAACCTTTACCTGCCCATCCACTGAGAAGAAATTGTATATGTGATACTTGTAACACCAGCTAGCAAGGAAAATCCACAATGAAAGTGGGAATAGTTTTCTGGGAAAGGATAAAATTAACAAAAAAGAAGAAAAAAAAAATCAAAGGTACATAGACATCAACAAAATAAAAATGCTGTCTGAAAAACTCTTGCAGCACTCAGGGCCACAGGTTTAATATTAAAGGAATAGAGATACCTATAGTATAGCAAAAGGAAACGTGATTAGAGGATTTCTAATAACACGAAAAATTACACTGAAGTACTGATACTGTACAAACTTCCCTCTAAAACAGAAATTAAGATAGTATCCCTATGCCAAAGAAAACAGACTCCAACTCCAAGGAGCAAAAAAACATGTAAAAAGAAATTACTATAGCATATTTAAATCCAATATTATGGAACAGATTTGTAGAGTAGTAATATTTTTTACAAAAATAGGATTTGAGAATTGAAGATGAGTAATACGATCTTCTATTTTTCAAAATCAGAGGTGAAGAATCTTAAGACTTAACTAACATAAGAGAAGAATTAGAGAGAAAAAGAATAAAAAAAAGCTTAAGTGGTCCTTTGAGCATCTGTTCAAAACTTAGCAACATAACCCATTAAGACTGCATCCCAAATCTTGTTACCACAGTAAACAATGAAATGCCTGGGAGTGAGTAAAGGCTGCAACAGAAAGTTCAACCATTAAGCACTCTGTAAAATAAACTGGGAAAAGGTAAAATCTCTTGCAATTCATACATGACAGCCTACTAAACAAGGTGAGAAGTATCTTTTCTTCTGGAGTTCAGAATGAGATGGCTCACCTCCTTCATTAGCATTCCTATAGTCCACTTTCTTCATCAATAAATCATCTTAGACTGTGCCATAATCAACTGCAATTGCTTCATTTTGATTTTTTTATTTTTAATCTTTTTGCCACTGCTATTTTCTCTGAGGCATAGAGGAACCTTTAAACAACTCTTCTCCATATGGCCCACTCTGTTCTTCCCTCCCTTGCATCATCTTTCCCTCATCAAGAACAGGAGTGATATTTCTCTTCACTGTTAGTCTCCTGAACCTCTCACAAATGCTCTCCTCCATATAGCATTTGTGCATGGATCAGTTGTTGCTTTTTGCTCACACTGACACTTCTTTCCCCCACCTTTTTTTCCCCCCCAATTTCTTTTTCCAGTTTGTCTATCCAACTGGATCTTCCTGACCAGTATCAAGGAGTTGTTCAGGCATTCATCCATTATATCAATGGACAGCACTTAAAAAATCAGATAAATATGGATCCAGTGAGTTTATTTCTCTAACCTACCCTTGACCTTCCACAAGCATGAAATAGAGGAAGTGTGATGCTTCCCAAGATGCTTTTACTTTCCCTCAAATTATTTACAAACAAATAAAAAGAGAGCATAGGCAGACAAGCTCAGGGTTCAGAAGAGTACAGAAAAACAAGAGTCTATTGCTGCAACACTCTAAAATAAATGGATTAATAATCTTACTTCATAATCTGTTATTTCAGGTAAATTGCTTTCCTCAGCCTTCTCTGAGTTTTCAGCTGCCCACTTGCTTGCAGCTTCTGCAAGTTCCTTTTCTGATAGTCTGTCACTCTTCTCCAAGGCCTGTACAAAAACACACATGGCAAAACATCTTCAAAATTAAAAGAAACAGTTATTTTCAGATCCCTAAAACATTTAAAAAAATTTAAAAACTAGGAGATAAGAAAACTTAAATTATCTAATTTGCTGACTGATTCCTTAAAAAGAAAGTGTGTGGGTAGAGAGCAGATAAAGAAAGAATAGGAGAGAAGATAAAACAATGAAGTTAAGTAGATTGTTATAAAAACCCCAGATTTTCAGAATCAGTTTTATTAAATTCATGGATCAGAGAGAACAGAAAAATTGTTTGGGACCAGTTGCGCACTAAAAGAAGTTATATACAAGTGTGGAGTGATCTAGTAATTCAATGTGATTTTCAGGCATTAAAGCTTGTAACAAATTTAAACTAACCTATTAAATACTGGGTAGGTTATAAAATCTAAGCTAATTAGGGCCCAAAAGTATTTTATACATACTTTAAATGATCAGAGCTGCTTCCATTAAAATTCATTATTTTTTATTTGGGGGGAATGCTGATCATTTATAATGAAGTCAGTCATGGCTTTATGGCCTTTAAATCTACCTTTCCATATGAAAATTCTCATATAAATATTTAAAAATTGATTTCTATCTAAGAATACTATTTGGCTTTTACTACCAGAGCAACAAACAGACAATGACAAATACCAACTTAGAAATGGCTAACTTTGTAAGTGTTGTTAGGACTATGTGAGTATTTCAGTTGTATAGAAGCATCTATCCAACAATCTATACAACTCTAGCATTAAAAATGGCAACACTAAAATGGATATCCAAAAAGATGGTACAAAAATCCTACTGCCTGAACAGGTTATAACAATTTCTACCTAATGCCTGTTCCATTTTGCAAACAGGTAGACAAAGAAAGCAAATGAACAAAAACTCAAATGAACAAAAACCCAACACACCCCACTCTTATCATTAGTTATTCTAAATTGAACAAATGGCCAGTGGAAGCAAATACTGTGACTTGTAACAAGACTGCTTCATCTTCAGATGTTTTATGCTTACCTCAAGTGAATTATTATCCAAACTCTTCTTTGTGTTGTATGCAGGGATACAAAGAAGGCTCTTACAAGCAAGGAGTAATATAATTCATAGAATACTTAGCCCACCTCACCTTTCCAAACTACACAATTATTCTTACACTAGTCTTACTAAAAACAATCTGCTGCCAAGAGTTTTCCCCTGACTTTTCCCTAGCTGCCAAAATTCTTGTACTGTGGCTCTATTATGGATCTCTCCCTTTTCTCAACTGTAGCTGTGTCCATTACTAACAAAAAGAAAAGACCAGTATTTTTGCTGCCAACAGTCAGTTTTGCATGAATTAAAACCTCACATTATCTACTATATTCCCACAACCCATAAAAAGAAACTAACCACTCTAGTATCTAGTGGAATACAGGAAAAAATCTGTTTAATTCAATCTCACTAAATATAATTCTATAGGTTGAATGTCAATAACTATGTATTAAATCCCGAATTAATTTGATTTAATAAAGTAATGGTACTTCCACAGGTACACTACAACAGAAGAGACAGAACAGAGGCATATTTCTCAGTTGAAAATGTCTGCAGCTACCTAGGCTGCAAACCTGCAAGAAATGAACAACCTACTATATCTTGTAAAAAACCCAATCTGCCCCTCCATCCCTGACTCAAAACAGAAGCCTTTTTTTTTTTTTAACTCATGGATAACACAAAACAGCAAAAACCTGTCACTTTGCTGGGAAGTTTACCCTGCCTTTTGCTCTAACTAAGCCTCTGAGACTTACAGACCAGAAAAACACAAAAGATTTTAAGATGTAATCAATCAAACAGGTGGCTTAGATCAGAAAACATCAACGTGTATTAATTCACATGCATGAATATGTAAAAAATTAATTATGAGACAGACAAGAATACCTTCTCAGATTTGCAAATAGATACTGCAGTGAAAAGAGGTATTGCTGAAGGAACACATACCTTTGTAAGTATTTCAAAGCTAAATTGTAACTTAGAGCATTGAAAACAATCTCCTTTAATCTCTAAAACGAAGTACATAACTAATTTCTCAAGCCTTAGTAGACTGTAAGACCCTGGCTCTATAGATGTTCATGTTTTGCCAAGACTTTTTCCATCACTGCTTCTGTGTCAGTGAAGCATTTATATAACTTAACTGGTCAGTGCAATCCACCAACATCCCAAAAGGCTCCACCGACACAGGACAGTATGTTACAAGCAGCTCAAGAAAAAAGCAATGAATTGTCACAGAAGTATTTCCATTTCTGCAGCTAGTGCATACCCAACAAATATTTGTGTGATCTGGGAAAATGACTTCCATCAAACAGAAAATTTCATTTTGTGTAGCCTACACCAAGCAGATAGCTACTGCCAGCAGATACATGCAAACTGCCGGTGAAAAAACCAAACCAGCATAAATCAGACCTGACTGAAGAAGAAAGCAGCACATTTACAGAATACTTCATAGTTCAAGCTCACACTACATATTAACACAAGAGCAAGAGATTTTGCAATGCCTCCTTGTTCTCAAAGGTTAGTATTTAGCAGGGATTTAGTATTAATCCACAGTACGCTGAGTCTGTAAGCAAAATAGGTGAAGTAATTATAAAGTATATTTTATAATCCAAATCAGGGTAGCTTGTGTGTAATAGTTTTTATCTGACTTTCCCCATTTACATCACTGAAAATATAGTGCTTGCCTCCCCCCTTAAGGACATTGGCAATTAGCTAGCACAGCAGTTCTAAAAAAGCTGCATAAGGAATAAGTACTTAGAATGACATAGCAAAACCAAAACTTGACTTTTTTTTCTTCACCTAATTATTTCCTTCAGCGTCAACTTCTCGTAACAAAAAGTACCTTTATTTCTTCTAAGTTTTTGGTTGGTTGGTTTGGGGTTTTTTGTTTGTTTGGAGGGTTTGGGGGTTTTTTTGAGGGTCTTTTTTTTGTTTGTTTGTTCAAGCATTCTACTGCTTTTATCAAAAAGACCTCAAGAACCAGGCCTGCACACCATGCTACTTAGGGTAAATGCTACATTTTAATGGAACCTTATTAATTTTGAACAATATCACACATTGTTTCTTTACTTCCCATTAACGTATTTCTCAACATTTTACAGAAAATACTCCCATGGAAGTGTTAATTTTAACCTCAAATATAATTTACAAGGAAGCAGTCTGTGATGAGAAAATGGTTTAGCTGCCACAGGACAGCCAGAACAATACTGAATGCTGATTGTTCATTAGTGTTTATTAGCCTGTCCATTTAACTAATTAGCAAGATTATGCAGTTGGTACTCAGCCCACAAGATGTGATGGGAAATTAAACACCATCAGTAAGAACATAAAGTGACATTTACCAAACTACCTTGCAATGCAGCTTCCTTCCAAATCAAATGCTATCATTCTTCATGCAGCCTGCTCCTCTGCTATTTACATTATCTTCCCAGTCAGACACTTTTCCACACTGTTTCCAAATCCAGTGACAGCTTAGGAATCACTGAAGGATGAAGTTCAGTGCAAATACAGGCTTGTCCAACTGATCTGTTAGTCCTGCAAAAAACACTTCACCATTTTTTCTCCTTGCCATTCCTGTTCTTGCACAATCTGAACTTTGAAAAATGAGTTTTAAATACATACAAAACTCCCTTTTTCCTCAAATGAGACAGTGAAAATCGAATAAAAAGGTCTGTTGGTATCCTCATTAGATACACAGCATTATCAGCACCTTCCTACCAGGTAGGTGAAACCCATCCTCTGCTGTATTACAGAGCAATCCAAGATGCCTCTTGCCTTAACAGCTGCATACAGTAACTCCTTCCAAATGAGGGAAAAAATGCAACAAAGAACAATCTAAAACCATGGTGTAAAGTATTGGAAAAGAAAATTTACCTTTGATGAAGGTACTGCTGTGGATCCTGAAGGTGATGCATCTCTTGATGTTTTCAGTGATTGAACTGTCCTCTCTTTACCTACAATTAAAAAAAGACTGTGAAATTAAAGACATACATTGCAAATATGCTTACTGGCTTAGAAAAAATGCAGTGAAATTTGCTCAAGTCAGACATGAATCTTATTGTTCTCTACAAGGTTGCAGCAAGGTGGGGATTTGGCTCTTCTCCAGGCAGCTAGCAACAGGAAAGAGACTGGGCAACCTGATCTAGTAGGGGGTGTTCCTGGGTCCCCCTGGGTTTGGGACTAGATAATCTCTAAGGTCCATTCCAACCCTTTAACATTCTATTATTCTATGATTCTGTGATAATGAATGGCCTTAAATTGCACCAGGGGAGCTTCAGATTAGATATTAGAAATATTTTTTTTCAGTGAGAGAGTGGTCAGGCATTGAAATAAGTTGCTCAAAGAGGTGGTGGAGTCACCATATCTGGAAGTGTTCAAGAAATAACTGGACGTGGCACTTAGTGCTATGGTCTAGTTGACAAGGTGGTGTTTGGTCAAAGGTTGGACTCACTGATCTTGGAGATCTTTTCCAACTTAAATGATGCAATGATTCTATGAAATCTATGTGCCCTCCATCTGATAACACAGATAGCACGTTCTTCTCTTCACAAGGAGAGAAGAGATAGAGCTGTGTCATTTCACACGTTTAGGAAAACATGCTATGCTCTCTTTCATCATTGATCACAGGGTGTATCAATATGATTCAGCAAGATGATGTGGTTTCACTTTTTAATATTCCTGTAATAATATAAACAGGTGAAATATTAGATAGCAGTCAATCACTGCAGGAAACCAGGAAGTATAGGAACTGGTTTAGCAGGCCATGGTATGTTGAAATGCCCTGCCTTGGGAAACAGTCCTCTATTGCATAAACCACAGGCTAGATCTTCTTTGTATCATCAGTGTTTTTCTTGTAAGAGTTAAAATTGGCAAAATGTCAAATCAAATTCACTGTGCTAATCAGAGTCTGTGCATAGTCTTGCCAGAGACCATTTACAGGCAGCCCATAGCAGCAGGACTGGTTGCAGTGTAACCTACTAGTTTTCAAGCTGTGGTCCACAGATTACATCTAAGGGATCTACAAAGAGGTAAACATGAAAAGCAAACACGTTGTCAGCAGGCCTAAATTAACTAGACTATTCACACTCACTGGGAAACAGTTACCTGTTTACAAATAAAATACAATATAAACTTACCTTGGCTTCCCTTAAATTAAATTTCTATCAGTACAATTAATAAAGGGATGAATTAGAAAGTCTATCAAACACTCAAGAAAATTGGGATAGAAATTATTTTAGTAGAACTATAAACATGATTGTTCATTATGGCTTTAAACATGCCTTTAATTTAACAAGTCAAAGCAATAAAGAGCAGACATAGCATCTCACTCCTAAGAGCTCAGCTATTTTCCCCTTTTCTTCACTCAATGCCATAAAATAAGACTGCATCATGTTGTCTATTTTAAAATACCTCCACAAAAACATAAGGAAAGTCTATGCCAAATGCATACCTGTAACAACAGGAAATGTTTAAGAGGTATTTGAAGAGTTGGTCTTCCACTCTCACCATTTTCATACCATGTGTATAGACTTAATACAAAGCTAAGATCAAAACCTGCTCATCTGTGCACGTTGTGGGAGGCAAGTGAGTTACTGCTGCAATGCTGAAGGCAGAGTAATGCACACAAAAAAATCTTCACAGCTACTGATGGGTCTTTCACAAATGCTAAGGAAAACAGGTGGGGAAGTCACTCTGGTGGATACAGATGTTCTAAATTGCAATTTAAACTTCAATTTGAAGATGATGTTAAATGGAGAACATACTTCAAAACATAGCAATCAGCCTTATTTAAGAATTTCTAGTAGATATAGAACAAAAGAAATTGACCTTTAAGGGAATAAAGCTTTTTAACAAGAAATAGTAAATAGAAAAACCATGAAAAATTAAAAGCTCCTATAAATACAAAGTGTATGACAAAACCAAAATCAAGGTAAATTATCATGTCCTTAACCTGTGTGCTGGTTTGGGCTGAAGTAGAGTTAACTTTCTTCACAGTGGCTAGTACAGGGCTACGTTTGGGGTTTGTGCTGAACACAGGGTTGATAATGCAGAGATGTTTTTGTTATTGCTGGGCAGAGCTTGCACAGAGCCAAGGCCTTTACCATGTCCTGTACTGCCACACTGGCAAGGAAGTTGGGGGTGCATGGGAGACTGGGAGGAGACACAACTGGGACAGGTGACCCAAACTGACCAAAGGGATATTCCATACCATATGACATCTGCTCAGCTTTTACCCTTCTGATTCTCTCCCCCATCCCCTTGGTGTGAGGGGCTGCGTGGTTCTTGGCTGCTGGCTGGGGTTAAACCACAACAACCTGTCACACTCCCCAAAACACAGAACATCTCCCTTGTCCCCACCATGTAACACAGAAGTTTTGCTCCTGCAATATCTGCTTTTCAGCCCCATGCATGACACATCTCCTTTCAAATCTACAGACTACTCTGCTTCCCACATGCCTCCCTCATCAGACTGGATTCTTTAAAGATCACCTCAGTTGAGTGGATTATATGTATGCACCTGAACAGATGAAATGAGCTGATATATGTGGCAGTAAATTATGCAAAGTTAAGGAGAGGGAAAAAATACCAGTTACTCTGGAGACATTATTAGGCCATTTTTTTTTGTATGTGTGTGGCTATTTTGAATCCATAAGCCCTACCTGTCAAATTAAACATGACACTTTCTAAGCACCATTATTTACCTTCTCACGTCTCCTCAGCATACCCCTTACTGCCTGGCCCCTGCTTCTCTCCATGCTGTCTCATCACAGCTGTCCTGTCCTGTCCTTTCCATCAGCCCTTTCCCTCCCTTTCCCAAGCTTCTTTATGTCCCCCAGTTCTCTTTGTTTAAATTCTGTGTTTAATCTAATGTATGCTGGGCTGTAGAGCATGAGACATTCCTTTTTCTGTGGAAGTCATGAGGCCAAACCAATTCAGACAGCATGACTTGAAACAGCATTATGATATATTAAAAAGATGCCATATTGCAAGTTCCACATAAAACAGTATATACTTTGCATGTAGTAAATCCATTTAAGTACTGCCTAAAATGTATTGCTGACATATACGAGATATGTCTCACTTTATGTTCCTTTAAAATACAAATAATACATCAGTTTATGTAAGGCAAATCACATTCAAAAATTATTCTAAAAGAATTATTTAAGCCACCTATACCTTGCCATTGGCCATTTTAATTCAGTCATCTAGAGGAACAGTTTAGCAGCACTGTTTTCCAGGGACAGGCAGTTATAAAGAAATAGTCCCTAGTGCATAAACCATCCGGTCTCTTAAAACTGATTTAAAGATGACTGGGAGCAGTGTTACACCATGTAACTGGCAAAAATATCAAAAAACACAGACCTAAATGTAAGCTCCCCTCTTGACTAGTATCTTTCCTGGTTTGTGAACATGTCTGCTTCTACTTCACTGCCTCCACTACTGCCTGAGTCATTCTTACAATATACTGTGCATCTATACATACACAATAGAAGTCAGCTCAAAATTTTATGACAACCCTGAAACAGTCCAAAATTTTATATGGTTTCTTACATTTTTCCCCTGTTCCTAGTAATTATGAGCTGCACACTTACAACACTTCTATAAATTTAGTTAAATATCACATTTTTCTCTTCCTTTCCTACCTTTAAAGGCATTCACATCCACTGAGTATTGCTACAAAATGATAAAGAATTGCAATGACCAAATACAAAGATCATCTGTATTCTACAAGGAGTGAAATAATTCCTCAGTATTTAAACAATGTTAACTAAACTACAGAGATCTTTTTTGGCAAGAAGTGCTACATAATGGTTCAGTCTGTCACTCTGGAAACACAATGTGCCTATCAGTGAATAAAAAAGAATCCAATTAATTTTCCTAAAGCTGCCAAAATGAACAGTAGGTTTGCATAGTTCACTAGAAAGCATTTGCAGAAAGGGAAATAAAAATGAATTAATTTACATAAGCTGTACAAGCAGCAGTGGCTAAGACTGTAATATACTAAAAAAAGCAATTTTATCTATTTTTTTTTTGTTCCCCAAATCATGTAAATAAGGAAACCTCAAATATTTTCAAAACAGATGATTCATTAGACTTCTGGGAAGCATTAACAGCCAAGCTTTTAAAAGGCAGAACACACAGCAGAGACTTCACATTTCTTTGAGGAAATCAAGATTTGGAAGGATCTGACAATGAATGAAATTGCTAAAAAACAATCAGCTTCAAAAGCCTAATAATACAGTTCCAAACATTTGGAGAAAATGCAACAAGTAGCAGTAGCTACTTTAACTTCTCTGATTTTTTAATCCCTCTTCTACCCTGGTTGCAGGAAGAAATGTCTTTATCTGCTATAGATGACAGCAAAATTTCTTCTAAGGGAATTCAGTGAAGCACATAAAGATTTAACAGAACCAGCTGATGCTAAAAGGAACATGTAATACTAGAAAGAGTTGTGCAGATGAAACTCCTACAGTCAGTCTAGGGCTGCTACTGAAATAGCACCTAAAATCTCCCACGTGAAATACATAAGGGAACAGAAAGTACAATGAAACAACCAAAGAGCAGACAACACACAGATGGTATGAAATGCCTTGTTTTCTCATTGTAAAAGAGAGCACGTAAGGAAAAAGGGCTTAGACAGTGAGTTGCAGTTTCACCTCACTAACCAACTCTCATCATTAATCCAGCATTACCTTGCTGAGAAGAAATATTTCTTTTATGTAAAGATGACATACTTCTGCTATGCTGGGACTGGTGGAAAGGGTAGGCTTTGCTTCTTTCAGGAGAGTAGCTCCGGCTGCTGACACTGGAGCCAGATCTGCTGTGTGGAGAATCCCTTCGGCTCCCTGGCGATTCCCTGAAGAAAGGAGGGTCCCTCTTATGAGGGGATCGCTCCCTCATATAATGGGAAGGATAGAAGCTTTTCCTCCTGAAGACATCTCTGGTGTCCCTTGGAAAACAACAGAAAAATAACAGTTACTTCGTTATCCTTCCAACGTCTGTTGAACAGCACTAGATAATACAATGGCAACATTTAATGCCTGGTAAATACAAATAGGTTAGCTGTCAGAACATGTCTAAAATCTTCAGCACTGTTAAGAGTACTAAGCAATAAATGAAGAACAAGTAGAAAAGAAAAAAAAACAAAAACAAACAAACCCAGACAGTTTCTCTCAGATTTCATTGAACTACATCACTAGAAGTCAATTCCTTTCTAGCTCTTGACAATACAGTTAAAAAGTAGGAAAGTGACATTCAAGACTCAGTTCACTTTCCCTGGAAATTAAGGCTTAATTTACAATAGCTAAAAATGCATATGCAGATATTGTTCACACTATTTGGCATTTTTCACCTCTGTTTTTCCTCTTACTCTTTTTTCAAGGGTCTATATCCCTCATATGATTTCACACACCTTGCTATAGGAAATACCACCGAGGGATTTCAGATTCTATCCAGCAGACAAAAAGAAATCTGCAGACTACCCATCTTCATGCCTATGTATCCACCCAAGGTCAAACCTTGAATGAAAATATGAAGACTTATACCTCCTAAAAAGTTTGTTTTTCATAATACACAATATTACTTTTGAACTTTACTATAAAATGTCACAAAACCAACTGATTTGAAACCATAATCTAGTAAGCATCAAAATATTCTACTAAATTTAGCTAATGTTACTCCAGACTATACCACGAACATGTTGGTTACATGTAAATTTTATTAATATACATTAATGTGCAAAGGGGAAAAGAAAAACCGTATCAAATTGAACTTATACTAAAGAATCTCAGAGCTAACAAACATTCAAGCAAACTGAATCCAGACCTGTCACATGTGCCTTGGTTGGAAGACACATTGCTAAGAGAAGCAAGTACTTCTCACCTTCTCCACAGCATTGCTGAGTGAAAATAAAGATGTCATAGCATTTATAGTAAATCAGAATGCACCTTATTTCACTGTTTTTCTCTCCTATTTCTCATTACAGTCCAATATTTTAAATCAGGGACTGTCTCGGAAAGATGAGCAAAGAGCTGGGGATCTCATCTAACACCATGTAGCTATATCTAATTTTATGTTGGTATAGAACAGGAAAAAAGCCCTCTAGTGTACAACTCCTACAGCATGTTACAGGCCCACATTCATGACAGATAGCAAAGGACTTCAGTGTGCCAAAGGTGTTTTGGACTACAGAAACTACACAGGCAGTACCCCACTAACACAAACTCTGCAACACTGATGTGCCAATTGACTTTTTGCATGGAAAGCACATCTGCACGAGTGGCTCTGCTTCAGAATGCAAACATCCCACAAGCAACGTGAGCATATTCTGCAGCAGAAAAGTCACTGGGATGGGGCATTCTCTCTGTACACTCAAATGTATCAAACAGAAATCTCAAGAAGCCAGGCGAGTTCTCAAACCCTGAGACACAGCTGAAAATGGGGAACAAACACTTTATCTCCATTATATGTAGCCATAGACTTGAAGCAAAAGTTCAGGCTTTCAGAATAGTAGGTTAGCTCAGCATTGAGCTACTTTGTCTAATAAATAAATAACCTCTAATTTACCTAAAGAACATACTGATCAAATATTTATCAGAATGACTTCAGTACAGCACACTTTGTGTTCCATTTCCTTCTAAACCTCTCTCTTTAAATAACGTTATTTATTTCTAAAGCACAAGCTCTCTGGCAGACCAGTACACCACTTTTATGTGCAAAACACGTTTTTATGACCAAGTTATTAGGCTTTTGTACACAGAGAAGTTAATTATGGAAAAGTATACAGAGCCCCAGATATAATAAATGTTCTAATATGCACATAGGAATTAAAAAAGTATAATAGAAACACACTTTTGAATGGGAAAACATTTGAAATCCTCATTCTACAATAATATTATGCAGCCTAAAATAAAATCTCACTTTCATTTTTTGAATTTTCATTTCATCACTCCATGTTAACTCTTAACTGGACCATACCTCATATAGAACAGTCAAGCTATTAACTATATTAAATGTTTTGGACAGCACAGCATTTCTGATGTTTTTCATTAATGTAACAGACTACACTGAACAGAACAAACTAAGTATTGTTTTACTTTTCATTTTCTTCCTTAAATACTTAAGCTAACATACACCTGCAATCTGGTCATGAAGACCTCAATTCAGCAAAGCAGTTAAGCACATGCTTCAGATTCCAACACATACTCAAAAGGTTTATTGAGCAGGGACAATATTTAATAGAGATGCAAAACTTTGTGCTCGGCTGTAACTTTAAATAGAACTACTGCCCTTAATAACAAATAAAGCATTAATCCCTTTTATATAGTATCCCCATTATCTTTTTATTTTGTATTCATATCTCACACTTAATCCTGAAAGCAAAATTTCATTCTCTCAGCAGCTTTGCAACAGGAAGTGGTACCATTTTTAACCTCCATGAAACTTGACCATCAAGTTCTCACTAAAGCTGACAGTCTTGGATGAGCTGAAATTTTACAAGTACACAGCCAGACTTTCATATACCATTTGCTGAGGGCTGCTGACAGAAAAGTACAAGCCTGAGTGCTATTTCAGTTAACCATCAGTTCCAGTTTCCTCAAGGATGAAACACAACTACAGAATAGACAAAGATACAGCTTTCTGCACAGCAAGAGACTGAGGGAATAGAACTCATATTTTCAGTTGCCAAAGGATCAGAGAAAACACCTTTGCTAAACTACCACTACCACACTGAGTACTTCCGGTCTCATCCCTCCCTGCAAAGCATTCAGTAGCGATGTTGTGGAAAATTGAGGGCCACAGGAAGTCACCTAGTTTACAAAAGGGAGTGGTACAACTTAACCTATGTGAAACAAACACTAACACAAACTGGTGTGTCAGTTTCATATTTTAAGAGTCAAAAAAAAGGCAAAACTAAATCACTTGTTAGATGTGATATGCCTGGGAATGGAGATGTACTTGGGTACATGACAGTGTATCATATGCAATACAGGGACAACTTTGTTGTAAGAGGAATCTTAGTTCACTCTCACTGAATTCATGCTACTGGGCAATAGTGTACAATACTTCATGCTTACTATTCTCTTAGACTTCTGCAACCCAATACAGACATTCATCTTTCAACCTAAACATGAATCTACAATGTGGTCCAGCCATACAGGACATAACTCTCACTTTAGATGTTGAAGAGACTGGCAACTCAACAGCTGTGGAACAGAAACTGGAGGTTCTTCTCACAAATAAGTACAGTCTATGACCTCAGTAAAAATGTCACCAGAGAAGTTTATGTGATCCCTTCTGTCTGAGAAAGATTATTGCCATTGACAAATGGGCTAAACATTCCCTTTATAGGCTTGGGCTTAATTACTAACCTTGTCTAAAAGTAACTCACACAATTTTATAAATAAATTGAGGATACTATGGGTATCTCCTACAACACCAGATGCCAGTGCAAAACAGATAAAACAGGCAAGATCTGAACCATACTTCCTTGTCAGAACACTGCAGAGGCCAACAGAGCTACCAACATGATTCAGATGATGAGGAAAACATTTAGTAAGACATACTACCCGTGACCTCTGAATTTCTCAAAAGATTTCCTGTCTTAAACACTCAGAAAGCAAATACGAAGAGCCCAGAACACCTCTGCTTCTAACATCTTCAAAGTAAATGTAGGTGGTGGAAGATTCCAACCACCATCCTCAGAACACACTCCCTTTCTTTCCAAAGAATGCAGCACAAGGCTGTGCAACAATCTAACAACTTACTTAGGTTCTGCTTTAGAGACTTACTATAATCTCTCATTATTGTCCAAAGATCATGATGCAGATTTATCATAAGCTAACATAATACAGTGAATTATATCACTGTAAATAGAAATAATTGTACCTGGTTCCATTGGCTTTCACTTGAACATTTGAAATGATGATAAGATTTCTTATGACAACTGGTTTTCAACATTTTATGACTAAACAAGTAACTGCAGCAGATTTGCATTTGCTTTAAATTCAATTAACATTATTAGAACCAGTCAATGTATTATTAAAAGCTTTTTGCATGAAGGCAAAAGGAAAAAAGCATTGAGAAACATAGGCAAGTCTCATGCAGAGAAGGATAACTAGACCAACATACCAAAAAAATTTAAAATATATAAATGTTTCACGATTTTTTTGCTGCATGCAGTACTACTGAGGCTGTCATGTGCAAATGCCAAAACTCCACACTGATGCCACTTGTCCACCTCACCACCCACACCCCACCTCAATATGCCATGACAGATCAGAGAATAAAAACTAAGGTAATTTGAATAGCAACATTAGAGAGAAATGCCTCTATGTCCTTGTATTGAGTCTAGCTGTGCAGTGCTTTACACTGGTAGCTAGAAAGGTGTCAATAACACCCCAGTGTTTTGGCACCACTGAGCAGGGCTGGCACAGCATCAGTGCTGTCCCTCAACATTCCAGACCCCATTAGCAGGCTGGGGGGTGGGCAAGATCCTGGGAGGGGACACAACTAGGCCAGCTGATGCAAACTGACCAAAGGAATATTCCATACCATATGATACATCAGCTCACATACAAAAGCTGAAAGAGGAGGAGGAAACAGAAGGACATTCATTATTATGTTGCCTTCCCCAAGCAACTATCACCCGTGCAGAAGCTCTGCTCTCCTGGAGATGGCTGAACACCTGCCTGCCCGTGGGAAGCAGTGAATTAATTGCTTGTTTTGTTCTACTTGTGTGTGTGTGGCTTCTGCTTTCCCTATTAAACTGTCTTTATCTCAACCCACAAGGTTTCAAGCTTTCACCCTTCTGATTCTCTCCCCCATCCTGCTGGTGGGGGAGTGAGTGAATGGCTGCGTGGGTTTGGCTGCTGCCTGAAGTTAAACCACAACAGTCCTTTAATTGAATGGTAAAGCTGTGCACCTCAACTGAACTGGAAATCCAATTAC